CAGCACGGAGCTGAACGGCATCCTCACATCAGCTCAGCCACCTCCATCAGCAGCACAGGCTGTTGGGAGCTAATCCCAATGCTCTGCTTTGCTCATGGGTGGCAAAGTGCTTCTGCAGGAGCCCAGCATCCGCCAGCAGGCAGGGAAGGAAGGCAAAGCATCCTAGTGGTCACCAAGTTTGGGGCCACATCCTCAAATTCCTGCACAGAACTGCTGGGTTGGCTGACATTTAGTAGTCAGATCAGGAGAGGGGGGTTATCTGCTGTTCTCCAAACCAGCATCTCTAGCCAGGTTATCCTTCCATGCTCATCCAAGACAGTGGCATCAATGAAGACAGGAATGACACCGCTCTGGGGTCGTTATCTCTAGGGAGATTCCCTAGAAGAGGCACAAGAAATAGGAAATGGAAGCCTAGGAAGATCAAACATGGCATATTTTACCCAATATTTGCCCAGAATGTTCACTGAAGTGCTGTCTGAGGGAAGAGGCAGCAGGGAGATGGCCATCTGCATCCCCCAAATCAAACCAAGCACAGAGCCAGCAAGAAAAAAGGTTCTTTGCATCCCTCTTCCTCCCCATGCACCTGTACAGGGTTAAGCATATTCAAACCTGCTGTCTTATCATGCATTATGCAAGGGCACGACCCAGCAGTGAGGGTTCCATCACACAGCTGCTGTCCAAGGAGAACGTCTACATACTGATTCCTCCCTACAGGAGAAGGCAGACTGGAAAGGAAAAAAAGGTCTTTACAGGAAAGAGATGAGCATAGTAGATTCCTCACTTGTAATTCTATCAGAGATGATTAAATCTGCTACCCCTAAATAAGGTCATTTTTCTGTCTTTTTTTTTCCTCTAGCCTTTCCCCTCCTTTGTCTGCTTCCTCTGGGCAGGCACCAGCATCAGGCTTCTCCATGCATCATCTGAATCTCTTTTCCTCTCAGCAAAGCAGACTTCCCAAAAATAGACAAAGGTGTGATTTCAAGCCACTGAAGAAGGTTTTCCCTTTCGAACCAGATTTATTTCAGTTAATTTTATATCATAATTTCAAATGAAACTGAAAAAGGAACGTGGCACACATTCACTTTCCAAACAGCCTTTGTCTCATTCATTTAATCACTGGCCCAATCACAAAGGCACAGCAGCAGAACATGTGCACAACTCAGCTCCTCTGGTGTAAAATCCAGCAGTTTGGTGTAAAACCACTGCATCTCTACATAGAATGACAGCTTCTCAGCTTCCCAAATCAACATTTCTTCTCCTTACGTAACTCCTGCTCATGGTTACAGACCACCTTCCTCCGACAAAGCCACACAGTGGGAATTGGTATCAAAAGCCAAAAGTCACACCAGCTAGAAGGCAGCCTGTAGGGTGGTGAGGCACTGGCACAGGCTGCCCAAGGAGGCTGTGGATGCCCCATCCCTGCAGGCATTCAAGGCCAGGCTGGATGAGGCCCTGGGCAGCCTGGGCTGCTGGTTGGTGACCCTGCACACAGCAGGGGGTTGGAACTGGATAAGCATTGTGGTCCTTTTCAACCCAGGCCATTCTATGATTCTGTGATAATAAATGCAACTGAAGGGACTCCATCCCTCCAAGCTCTGCTCTTTTTGAACAGCAGACAGATATCTGGTTACCAAAGGTAACGTGGTCGCTGTTCTGACAGTCCTTCCCCCTCCTGGCTGCTACACTCCAGCTAAAGCAATAGATTCTGTGCCTTTTTAACACTACAACAGGCATGGAAGGGATGCCCTGGGAAGGCAAGTGGCCTGCAGCATGGTTCCTCCATTAGAATGTAGTCGGCACAGGGAGAAGATGGAGCAGCTTTGTCCTATGGACATATCAAAAATAGCTGACCTGCTTGCAGGCACTGCTGAGGTTGTGGTGATGTGACTGACCCGCTTTTTCCATGCTTGAAGGTAGCTTTAAAGATGTCTCGTGATGCCACAGCAGTCCTTTCGTGGCACTTCACAACGTGAGGTGGCTTACTAAATTTGGGCAGAAAGCGAGCATAGGAAATGCTGACCTTTGAACGCACAGCATGTGATGTCAGGAAGAAGGCTTTGACTCAGAGCAGTCAATATGTCTGCTCACAGCTAGACAGGAGAGCCACAAACATCACAAACAGAAATACCAGGTGCCTGATGAGCAGAGGAGCTAACAGGTCTATCGAGAGCAGCATCTCCTGTGCACGCCATCCTCCTCTCACTAAAGAACACAAACTGAGTGCTCCCATACCCGGAGCTGGGGGTTCCAAAGTGGGGTTCAATGCCAAGCTCAAGGACACAGCAAGGATAGCCAGCAGCACATGGAGGGGGAGGGAAGCAATGCAGGAGGAGAGGAAGGGGACGGGGAGGCAAATAAATAAGGACAATGCACAATTTATGAAGACAAGAAGGTAGTAAGTGCTATTCACCCAGAGTGTAAATTGGTATTGATGTCACAACACAGCCCAGCCAAAAAATAATGATGATGATAATTTAGGGCTTGTGCTATATCTTACTCAAAGCCACGGTCCCATCCAACAGCAACTCCCACCCTGCCGCCTTCTTCCCCTTCTCTGTTCATTGGTGTCCTCCTAAATCAAATACACTCAATGCTGATTTGATTAGATTCCCTTCTTTTATTTATCATCCATCCCTCACTCTTCCACTCTCAAGTTCTCAGTGGGCATCTTGCTCATTTTCTGGCACCAGGCAGTGCTTGGAGGAACAAGCCCATCTCCAGAGGAGTTACAATCCTCAGGCCGGTCCGGATTCGTGCATCCTTCCCAACCCTCATCTGTCATCCTTTAATCTCGCCTGTTTTATGCTCCAGATCCCGGCTACCCAGTCCTGACTTCCCAGCTTTATAGCCCTGACTTACTTCCCTCCTGTAACATTTTACTGCTCGGTTATCGGCCCTGAGGGGCCTCATTTACACAAGCGCTGTTTTCGCTATAGTTAAGACTAATTCACTGGGCTGCAGTTGGCTCTTGCATCCCGCATTCAGCTCAGCTCCCTGTCTCCTCTCTCCTGCAGGGAGGCAAAGGATTTTCTAATGGATGGGAGATTTATTTTCTTTCCTAATTTTTTTTTTTTTTAATTACTGTTATTAATCCCCTTTTGGGTGTTCCAAAGCCTGAATTGAATTCTCCCCCTGCGCCTGCTGCGATTCTGCCTGTTCCCCTTTGGTGCACACGTGCCCTCTGTGTAAGGTCTGTGGGACCTTGAGAAGGAGACTTGCTCAGGGATCCACTCTTTCCATCCTGCTGTAAAAGGGGTGCAGCCCTGGGAAGGCCATGACTGCACTCATCCAGCTGGGCCTGCAGTTTATTCTGCTTACAGCCCAGCTTTCCTACAAAGCACAGCACAGCGTCCTTCCCTCACGCTGACCCCCCCCCAGAGCCACAGCATCACCTACAGAACAACAGGAGCCAACCAGGGCCACCTGCACAGCCTCCCTGTGCCCAAACCAAGCAGGACCAACAGGCAACGTGCAATGCCCAAACTGAATCCATTCGACCGCCCAAGCAAACGAGAGGGAAATTCCAATTGCAGAATCCCATCAGAACCTCCCACGTGCAGTGAATCTGCCCAGTTCTGTTTCAGGGAGCTATGTAGCATCAGCTTAATTCTGGATAGCACGGTAACAATGTCAACTCCGTGCAAGAGAAAATGTGAATTTGTAAATAATGCCATCCTTTGCTGTCCGCCCTGACGGGATCAAAAGCTTATTGCTAACATTTTTTTTTAAATTAGATTTTCCAACCTATTGTAAGAGATAAATAGATATTATCCCTATTTTATTGACAGATAAACTGTGGCACGGAGGAATTAAATGAGTTGCCTAAGGTCAGACAATGAACAGTTTAGAGACTGGATCAATGGAGTCATTCTTTTCTTCTCATTTCGGTGTTTCTGGACGGCCAACCCTGCAGGGCTTTGGCACACACTTGCAAATCATTTTCTGAAACCACCAATATTGGCATAACTCCGTTCCTATGGATGCCACGGACAGAATCACAGCGTCTTATTATCTTAAATGGCAACAAAGCAAAAGCAGCACCAAGTGCAGGTTAGAATTTCACCCAAAGGCAGAATCGATAGATCTCCAGAGGACCTGGCAATATTAAAAAAGATGGGCTTCTGGCTACTGTGGGATTGCACATAAATAACAATATTCCACAGCCACAGTTTCTCTATTTATTTCACTTAAATTAGTTTCCTGGGCAAAAACGACCACAAACAGATCCTTACCCCTTCTTTTCTTTCAACCACGTATGCATAAACTCATGCAAAAAAAACCCTTTTTAATAAACAGGGATGTACCTGCATACACCCCACGTTCACATGACCCTAAAGAAATGGGATTATATTCCTTAGAGGCCTCCAGCTATGAGACTCTGAAATGGGAGCCCAAATAACACACGCTCATCTCTCCAGGTTCTGAAAGCAGCTTTTAGATGGTACGTTCAGCAGCTGGTAAACTCCACACAGACATAAGCAAAGCATAATAAGACATAATAAGACACAAGCAACATGTGTTATGTCCTGTACACTACCAGATCCCAGAACAACACGTTCAGTGCAGGTGGCAGCACTTGGCCACCGTGCTTCTCTGTAACTTCCATTCCCCAACTCCTTCCAGTTCACGTGTCATAGAAGTGGGGACTGCATGTGTGCTTGTCTTGTAGCAAATTGATACATTCAAATCTTTTAAATGTGTGTTCAGACATAGGAAAGAGCAGGTCAACACCCAGTGTGGTTAATGAGTGTCTCCAGCAAGAAGACTCCATAAGGAAGCACTCAAAGGACAGCAGATATGCTGGAGAAAACACCCCAGGTGGTTTTCAGGCCTGTGGACGTGGTTCCGTGGACTTAAGAGTGGTGAAAAAGCACTTCCTACAAGCTTAGCAATCCCTCCTTGTCCCCCGAATTATTTGGAGAACAAAGCACCCGACGTTCCAGCATTCTTATCTCCAGAGAGAGCATCCGAACCACAAGTGAGAAAGAAGTGTCACATACCTCCCTTGTGCTGGTGATCCCAATGCTGTCAGTGTTTTATAGGAGTTCTGCTCTTGCACGTTTTTGGAGCTCCAGACTGCAGCTCACGGCGATGGCACACCTGGAAAATAAAGGAAAAACTTCAGGAAAGGCTGCACTTCAGAGGCAGCCACTGAAGAGCAGTTATTAAATGGGAAGATGTGCAAATGGCCTTCTGGCGAGCTGCTAGTGCTGTGGACTTGAGCAGCTGCTGCTGTTGCTCCAGTTTCAAGGTAGGAGATGATGATAGAGGATGGGGTGAAAGGCGAAAGGAAGGACAGGAGAACCAAGAGGAGCATTCCTTTGCACATCTCTTCTTTTGCCCTTCTTGGATGAGCAGAACTCCCCACCTTGCACCACGCATCAGAGTACATCAGCAGGCTGAAAACAGGGATTTTTCACAGAACTGAGGCAGAGACTGCAGGAACTGGGGGCAGATCTGCTCCAAGATTCATCCACCCTGGCACCCTCCCAAAAACAACCCCAAATCTACAGAAAGCAGCTTTTCCTTCCTGATAAACTTTCATCCAGAGGTCCTTGCGACTGGAACAGCGATTCTCACTGGCTGCAATTAGATGGAGGCCATTGCAGCTCCCTCCCATGGGACCTGACAACCAGCACAGCTATGCCCTAATTTGAAACCCTCTCACCACCCCATTCTCTACTAACAACGCTGCTACCAAATTTATGCCATTTTTCCTAGCAAGACTGAGACTATTTCCTCACACTGCACAGGCTCCAAGAGGGTTAAAAGCCATCTTGCTCTGGATACACTCTGCACGACTCTTAATTTCTAAAGCACTGCGTTTCAAGCCATAAACTCAGACTGTTATTTACTTTCTTGAAGATGACACGGAGCCAGCTTCTCCCTGTCTCTCCCTCTGTCTGCTCTGCTGCCTTTTGGAGGCATCCTTTGGTACTGCTGCCTGGCTCAGGGACTTCCCAAGTCAGTGCCTGGATGGCAAATTGCTGCCAAGCAATGGCCCAGGAGAGGGAAGCAGGGAAGCTCTGTTTCCTTGCTCTGGGGGGGGGAGGCAATGGGCAGAGGGGCACAGGGGAACAGAACAAACTTGTTCTCAGAGCAGCATGGCGCCCAGGCCAGCAGGTCTCTTTCATCCTGTTTCAGTTCAGTAAAAGCGTCAATTAACTCCACATTAATTATTAAATCAGAACAATGCGTCTCTGGGTTCCGACAGCTAAATTCTGTTACTGCTGTTTCTTAGGGGAGCTCGGCTAGCCTTACAACTTAGGACATAAACATCTTTCTTCAAGGAGTTTCTGGGTTGCTGTTTTTATTCTCTTCTCTGTGGGTGCATTTTTAATCACAGTCCCTTACCCGTGCATGGAGGGAAGCATTTCTGAGCCTGCTGCACCTCAAAAACATCACACCTAACACACACAGCTCTTCCAGGCTCTGAAGGAGCCACGAGAGTTCCTCCACCCTGCAAGCATTTGCACAGCCCCTCTGGGAGGGGCTGCTTCCTCCTAAAACACTGCAGGGCATCCAGGTACACCATGCTATTGAATTCTACTGCTGCTTCTCACCCTTCCCCTCTGTGGATGCTCCACTTAATTCTACCAATTAAGGCCAGTCTGGAAATATTTCTTCTTCTCCCACTGCTGCTAGACACACGCTCTTACTGTGTGCTCCTCTGCTCCCATAGGATGGTGTTCACCACCAAGCAGACAGCCCTCCCCACACATACCCTGCTCAGCCCATCACTATCCCTTTTCTTGCCCCAGACATTTTGGTGGCAAATGGAAAAGGTCTCCTGAAGGACACCTTGCTGGAAGGTCTTCTCTCTGCCATCCACTCATGAAGCTCTACGACTTCCTAAGGTATGAATGGCTCCAGCGCTGCAAAACGCTTTTATTTCTTATGTGAATTTAATGCCTTTGGGAAAGAGCCAACCTAATAGAATTGAATGTAAAAGCTTTATAGGTACCAAACGGGCGCAGCAAAGTCTGACAGAATATCTGCACACTGGAAGGAAAAAGCTCTGGGGGTCAGAGGGTCTTCATTTCCCAAGCAAGGAAGACACCAGCTTTATGGACAAAGAGAGAAGCTTCTCCCTCTCCTCCCATCCTCATCTTTCTTTAGCAATTCTCTCCCTTTCTTTCCCTCATTGAGAGTTTTTGCTTCACTACTCACTGTGTGCAGAATGCAGTAATGTGATTAGAAGCTCCTGGCTGGTTGGTCAGCCATCATTTTCATCTCTCTGCACTGCTTGGGTTTCTTTTCCTACCCGAACTGTGGGAGCTGGCACAGCTTCGTGCCTGACCTGCGGTGCCACTGAATACGTGAGATTTGTTTTGCCTTTGTTGGAAACGACTGCAATATTTGCTGCAGCAGACTGACTGTCAGCTCATGTGTCCCTCAGTGGTGCCACCGACCGCAGCCCTCCAGTTCTCTTGGCAGAAACGGTGTGGGGGAAGAAAAACCTAAAACAAACACATTTGTCTTAGATAAGCTGCTCGCACACTTGTTTTTCAAAAACAGAACGGTCTAGACATGATCAGCAGCACAAATTTACTTTTCATCTTGCAAATGTTTCAAGACGCTCTGCACAGTGTTGCCTGCATGACTTGGCTGGGAGCGGAGCATCGGCGCACACCGTGCTCAGAGCATTCCTGCTCTTGCACTTCCCAGGTGTGAGGTCGTCCTCTGAGCTGGGAACACAACAACCTGCTCAGAGTGTGGGAAGGGTGGATGTCTGGAGTGCGTGTGGCACAACCAGCCTCAACAGTGAGGTGCTGGGCAGTGCTGCAACGAGCACAGATTCAGCCCCTTCTGCTGCATGCTTCCCTGTGTGCCCCTTTGGCGAGTTGAGCACTGGCTGATGAAAATCGAGCTCTTCATCCCCTGTGCTGCAGCCCCACATTTGCAAAATCCGCCTTTCAAAGAGTTGTTAAGATCTGGGATGAAAGCTGCTATTATGCCTTACAGTTAATTAGGTAATCATTATTATTTATTATCACGGGAGTGTCTGGAGAAATGGTATGAAAGCAGAATAGCAAGCTTGACCTTCTGTACTCACATCTCGATCTGGTTGGATATACAGACATTATTTATCACACATTCCTTTGCTACCTGGAAAGTTCCTCACGAGAGGAGCCTGTTTGTTCTGCAAGAAGTTTTGCAACAATCCAGAATGCCACAGCACAAATTCCGTGACGGCGTATTACCATCATCAATAATAATTATCAGAAATCATGATAATTACCAGCAAAGCTGCCTGCTGCAGATAGCAACATCCATCTCAGAAGGACAGCTGTGCACACTGAGGCTTGTCTGCTTCAGAGGAGTCCACCCGTTCACTCTGGAAGGTGGAAAACATCCAATGCAGGGCTCTGTGATGCTCCTGCTTACAGCAGATTTATGTCAGTGCAGCTCCTCTGACAGCAGCAGGATTGCTCTTCTGCACCAGGATCAGGGCCAGCTTCTCTGCAGGGGAAAAGAGAAAAGAAGGAAGCTGAGCTGTCTGCATTTGTGTCTGTGCCTCACACTGTGCCCTGTTTAAAGCAAGGCAGCAGAGGGATGCTTCTCCCTTCCACCAGCAGGGCCTGATGAGGGCAGTAAGAATTGCTCATGGCTGCATCCTTCATGTGGGCATCTCACAGCCGGGCAGGTAGGGATGCTGTCCCCATGCTTCAGGTGCACAGAGGCCACATAGAACAGCTGGAGAAGCTGGGAATACAGTCAAGAAAGCCCAGCTTCATGGGCCCTCAGTACAGCTTGCAGATGGCACCCATAAACCACAGCAGTGAGGCAAGTCTGGCTGGTCATCGTGATGAATGAGTTCACACACAGCCCCTGAGCTCAGCTTAGCAACACCAAGTACAAAAGGGAGCCTGATCCAGAACTGCCCAGTGACCATTCTATGGGCTTCACCCCCAGCACATGCCAGCAGAGCCCACCAGAATCAGACCCACGGGAGCAAGGAGGAGGCCCTGCTGTCTTGCCCTGGACCAGGAATCCATTCTCAGAGGATTAATTATCTGTACTGTTAAGCAAACACGGGCCGAGCAGGGCTGCTCCTAATCGAAAACAGCCTGCTTGTTTATTTCTATCATTTTTTTTTCCTCCCATTGTCTATTTTGATGCTTGTAAAAAAGCAAAGCTGGGAGCTGCGTGCCCACGGTCTCCTTGCAGCAGCCTGCAAAGCCCCCATCAGCACAGCAGAGACATTGTGAGCTCCCAGGTCTCTCCCATGCAAGGACTGCATGGCCAGACAGGTTACAGGGGAGAGTTATTAAAACCAGCTGAACTTGAGCAATACTGGGCAGCTTGTAATATTATTTTTGTTAATGTAGCTGCTTAAAGGCCCCAGATTTTCTTTTATTTTTTTGGCACAGGACCGACCACATACCTAACGCCTGAACAAAAGTGGGAATACTGGAGGATTAGGAATACCTAAATTTATGGCAGGATTAGCTGGAGTTTTATCCTGCCTGACAAAGAACTAAAAAGCACAATCAAGAAGACATTCCAACCCCATTATCTCCTACCCCTGCTGTGAAGAATGCAGAAAGATCACACCCAAAAAAAAGAGTTTATGACATCCTCTGGAGGTATCTCAGTCTGTGACCAGAAATCAGCACGTCAGTTGAATAATCCTACACAAAAACAGTAATAATTCTGTAAGAATTAGACAAAAAATAGATATATATATATATTTCTTCTCTTGCTTACATCACTTCTGCATAAAACAAAGCTAATGAAAAGAGAACCAAGCCCAAAGAAAATATTTGGTTAGATCTCATTCCTCTGCCAAAGAAATTTACTGCTGAGCTTAATGGAGTAGGACCAGCACCAGAAATACCTGCGTCCTCCACGCAGCCCTATCACTCAGGGCTCTGTTTGGATGTTGGCTGAGAAATCAGCACGGCTGTGACCAGAACAAGCCATCCAGGTGTTAATCCAGCACAGCTTTCCTAGAGCATGCTTCAAAGTCCCTGTTCCTGAGCAGGGACATCAGCTGCATGCACCTCTTGGAGCTCCGGGGGTCTGGTGGCTCGGGGCACAGGGACAGAAGTTGGGCTGGAGCCAGGCGAGAACAAGGGACAGAGCCAGGGGAAGGGGGAGGATGGGGAAGAACTGGGAGCTGATTTTTATATGGGAAGGTTCTCAGCACTGCTGCAAGCCACACACATGCAGTTACAAAGCATTTTCTCTTTAGAATTCCATCTTTTTGAGTCTTCGCTCCTACGCTGGTCTGGACATTTTAAACACACAGATCTTGCAATCCAGAGGAATGGGGTGGGGGGGAGAAGGGAGGGAGGCACCAACAGTGCTATTTTTCAGCAGTAAACACTCGCTCACTGCAAGCCTGTGTAAAAACATTTGAGAAGCACCACCGGAGCAGAATAAAGCCTTCCTCCCCTCCCCAGGCCCAAAGCTTGGCTGGGGCAGCTTCAGCTCAGCCCATGGATGCTGGGGCAGCAGTGGGACCCCCAAGGGAGGCCGCCCACCCACCACAGCTGGCAGCCAAAGGCACAGCATGGAGCCAGCAGCAGCTCCAGACAGCACAGGAATGGGGGCAGCTTCCTGGAAAGAGCCCCAGGGATGGTGGGGACTGATGGGGAGATTTTGCCATCTCACCCCCCCCCCCCATTTCTCTTTCCAGCAAACCAGCACAGTCCTTCTTTTGTGATGAGAGAGAGACAGTGGTGGAAGATGCTAGGGGAGCTCATTCCTCCTTGGTATTTAAGGAGATAAAGTTGATTTCTTGCTATCTTTTTGTTTTTATGACTCCTCCAAAATGGTTGAAAACATTTAACAGTCTAGCTGTGACATAACGAGGGAGAGGAAAGGTTTCACATGGACTGTTGATAACGGCTGAAGAACTGTGCTCCAGCAGGTGAAATGTGACAATTACTCCTTATTTTCAAAACCAAAAGCAGAGCTGGGTGGTTCAATGCTACATGAGGCTTAGACATGCACAAAGAATGAGAAACGCTGCGTATGTGAACCCTGAACAAGAAAGTTTACCATGGTCAAAACTATTCTGCACTATAAACCATACCCCAACCTCCAGATCCTTTGATACAGGCTGCTTTCACCAAATTGCAACACTAGTGAGAAGAGATGAGCTGCGCTGGAGACATCTTTATCATCTGAAATCTCTTGCCACCAGCACCCAAGCTGAACAATTACACTCTTAATAACAACTTCAATAATTCAATATATAGAAACTGAGCATTAATGGTTGCTTATCCCAACCTGCACGTTGCTGCGTTCTGCCTCTTGCTGGTGTTCTGTAATTTATATGATCACACAATCCCTCTGCTGACACTGATGGAGGCAGGATTTCACTCTGTGATACGGCCTGCAAGAAAACATTCAGATGCTTCAGCTTTTAAATATGCCACAGATGGAAAGTATCGTTGGTGGTGTGTTAACAGAAACTCTCTGCTGCCTCCTTCCTGAGTGCTGGCCACTGCTGGCATGACAGCACTCAGATAAGAGCTGAAAATTACAGGTTTGGATGATTAACTCCATTTCACCCTCAGATGTTCTATATTGCAATGATTGAAGAAGAGACTGCTGTGATCATTGGGTCAGTGCTCCATGGTGTTACTTAGCTTGCATCTGCCTCTTGAAAAAGTTGGGCTTTGCAAGGTAGACCACGTGTCTGTGTTGTGACAGCATCTGCTGAGCAGCATAAAGGACTCAGCTCTGGGAAATCATGAGCACAAGGACCATGAGAGGAAGCCTGAGAGGAAAAGGATTTAGCAAGTAATAAGGATGGGCATGTGCCCACACCCCAGTGACTTCAGTGGAGACCACTCACCTGAGTTAAAGGGCAGCTTTCCCCTTTGCTGTTGTTCCTTGTTTCAGCTGAAAGGAGGTTAGGAGGCATTGGGTTAGTGCACGTTTTCATAGCCACAGTGGGCTTAGCTGTGGGAGTTCCTTGTTTATTAGCTGCGTATTAAATATGCATGACAGTAAAAAGAAAACACTAAACATGAACATAAATCCCCCTTAGATGCCATACAGCCGTGCAGCTGAACGGTGGGCACTGAGACAGCATCTCCAGGCTGAGTCACATCCACGCTGTGCATCGTGCTGCTTCCCACCAAGGGAACGGCTGCAAAGGTTGACTGGAAGAGCAGGAGGAGCTCCAGCCCCTCCAACAGCCCAGTGCTCAGATCCCTGGTGCTGGCAGCCTCGCTGTGGGCTCTGCCAATGGTCCTCATGCTCCTGCATCCTCCCAGGGCTGCACCCACCCCAGTGCTGCCGTGCCTCCTGGTTGAAGGAGAGGCCTAAAATGGACACAGCTGAGGTCTTTTCTTGCTGCTGGAAGTCAACACGCTGCTGCGAGCTCCCAGTCTGTGACAAACTCACACTCAGTCGATCATTTCACAATCACTGTTACTCAGAGCCTCCACCAAGAGCACCCAGCTCTGTATGGCCAATCTGAGGTCATTGCTTTTGCATTTTAATTGACCACAGGAGCATTCCCCTTTGCTGTTACCATTACCATACAGAGAAGAGTGAATTAATGGCCGCCAGCCCACATGGAATTTATTGTTTTTCACATGACAGTACCTTTCTCTTTCACCTTTGCAGCCATCACCTCTGGTCACTCCTTCCCACCTTCACTCTCCGTGAGTGTGCAGAGTTACAGCTGTGATGGAAAGCAGTCCTACATGGAAACAGAAGGGAAGGGAGTGTGGGCTCTGATTGGAAAAGCACACACACATGTGCATGGAGCAGGCAGGGAGGTGATAAACCCCACCTATCTGTGAGGAAGGAAGGGCTTCGTTAAGCTCAAAAAGGAAAAATACAGGTATTGACCCAGTCCTCCCCCCACCAAGCTTGGTCTCCACCAAGCCTGCAGCTATAGGAAGAGCTGCCTTCTGACCTTGCCAGACACGTGCAGCACCTTCTGCCTCGCTGAGTATTTTTCATTTTGGAAAAAAATTAACAAAAAAATAATGATAATGAGAACCCTCTGTGGCTTTCTCAGCTCTGCTGCAAGGAATGGGATCCAGACAAACCGCTGGAGGGGAGGAAGGCTTTTGGATTCTGTGTTTTATTTTATTAGGTGTAAGTGAGTTATTTTGATTATGTTGGCAAGAAGTGGGAAGAAAAAAGCCTTACGTACAGCAGCGCTGTCCCCTCTCAACCCACCTCCCCATGCACACGTGCACTGCTCAGCACCCACTGCCATGCAGCTTGGCCAGCAAAGGCCCAGGGAGGCAAACTGACAGCCATGCCTCTGCATCCTGCAGTGCTCTGCTTTGCTGGGAGGCAGAAATGCTTTAAATTGAGTGGACTGGGCGGGGGAAGGGTTGTTGTCGTTTGAAACTGAAGCACGGAGGTAGGGAAGGAACAACAACACGTGCAAAGCCTCCAAGTTTTTTCCCCCCAGCGCTGGGCATTGCACTCAGGGGATTTCCCATGAATGAGTGGCATTCCTTTCAAGCTGCCACGGAGCTCTCTGTGTGTGGTGACATCGTGGCTGAGCTGCAGCACAGTGACAATGATGGGCAGCATCTGCCAGGCGTGAGGCCCCAGGGAAATCAGTGCTCCTTCCTGACACCTCTTACCTGTCGGCGGGGGGAGCGGGCTCCATCCTCTGCCCCTGAGCTTTGTGTGATCCTCACATCAGTCCTCCTGCTCACCAGTTCCCTGATCTGCAAAACATTCAGTGAGGTCACTGCCAGCTGGGACTTTACAACCACGGCCACATTTTACGCTGTGGCCAATCGGAGCTAAATGGAGACACCAGGCTTGGATGCTTCAGCTTAAAAACATGGGAGGAAATAAAAAGCTTGTCTCTCCTTCAGCACTGTCAGCGCAAGGAGCAGATGCCTGAGATGTGAAGTACAATGCTGGGATAATTCAAAATATTTCACATTCTTTAGGCTGACATTGTACCCCCCCAGTGCAGGTCTCCCAGTGAGGCCAAAAGCAGGCAGCACGCTTTGCAAGTCTGATGCTGAGCGAACATTTAAATGGGAAACACGAGAGGCAGATCCAAGGCCATTCAGAATTGCATTAAAGCATATCAGGGCTCCAGCTGCCTGTGTAGCAGCAGCATCATCCTCCCGGGCACACTCCCTATGACACGGATGTCTGTGTGGTCCAGAATGCCAGCAGGCTCCTCCCCTACCAGAGAAATCAGGGAAATCTGAGATCTGCTGTCTCCATGCTGCCAGGAAGGACCCAGAGCATGCCACAGAGTTTAAGTCATTTCCAACCTAATTTGTGCAAAGATCTCAGTGATTGACCTGACTGCCTGCATGGGAGGGTGGTCCTGCGTGGCTGCTTGCGTGCGTACACGTGTACGTTCATGCATACATACATATACATACATGAACATAAGGAACAGTTGGAATGAGCAGCAATTAAAATGAACATAAAAGCCAATCAGAGGCAAATACCTGTCTGCCAGTCCCTCCTTGCCAAGCTGGAGCTGGAACCATTCAACGAGGGAAGACAGGAGCGCTGCAGATCAGACCGGGTTTATTTTTAACTTCAGTTTTGCCTTCTTTTCTAAGGGGATTTAGAAGCACTTACTACACGTGTGCTTAGGACAGCCCCTCAGTCCCCCATCCCCTTTGGCTCTCAGCCTGCAGCACTGCTCCCCCTGACCTGGGGAAAGGCACACAACTGTTTCCCCATAGCGAAGCCAATAACTGAGAGAGGAATTTGTCAGCATCTGCCTTGCTTGTTGGTGTCACAGGAGCAACCTGGATGGCTCTGGCAGTGTGCATAGAGCCAAACCAGCATGCCATGCTGGCACAGCCTCTGTCCTCAGCACAGACCTGGGGAGGGGAGCACAGCAAGGGACGAATAAACACTGTGTGCAGGGATGAATTCTTCCCATGGAGCTCCAGACACATAACTCAGCCTCATTCCTGTTGGAATGAATGGCAGAACGTTGCTACAGGCAATGTTACATGGAGCAGGAGACCCGGAGCTCCCCGCAGAGCATGGAGAGGAAGGTCAGGCTTCCTCCCCCCGACCTGCATCCTGCCTGAGGGGTCTCGTGCTCCCAGCACAGCTGTGATCTGCTGAACGTGCCGCTCCAGAGCAGGGCTGCACCCAGGGGACAAAGCAGCGCCTGGTGCAGGCATGGAGGTATGGAGATCTCTGCACAAGATGGAAATTTCTGAAGTGCAACTGAGCCTCCAACATCCTCTGGGATGCAACAGGAGAAAACAACACACAACTTTTGCTCTGTGTGCCCTCCCCCCCCCCACCCCTTGCAAAGTGTTCATCCTCACCCAGGGACAGCTTGGTTGCAGTGATGGGGATAGGGCCGGGCTCTCAGCTCCCCTTGCTGGATGTTGGGAAGGGCTGCAAGGGAAAGAACGCTGGGAGTTGGAATACCTTAGGCTTCACCCAAACCTGCCTGCCCACAGAGGGAGGTTTCACGCATTAAGATGTTTGTGGCAGGCGGTCAGGCAGCACTTGGGCTTTTCTCTCAGCCCTCCTAACAGAGATGAGCTTCCCAAGGACGATGGGAAACGATGGTACAGGGGACACCTCCAGTGCCTGGCTGTGCTGTAACACTTCCACAAGAGACCAGAGGGAAGGCATCAGTTTAAGAGAAGAAAACCAGCCGTTCCACTGACAGTGCCCACTCTGCACCTCCCAGCCCACCTGCCCTTGTGCACACACTGCAGGAGCATGTTTGCAGGTAACAAAACTCTTCCGTGCTGTCTGAAGGCCCTGGGGTTTACCTTCTGCTCAAGTGCTGCTTGAGCTGAAACACGTTTATTAAGAAGGAATGGAAACTGCAGCAAGAGCCGAGCATTCAGCAGCTGTCGCAGCCAGCAGCAAGCTCCTTGGGGTGTGCAGCCCGTGGAACAAGCTACAGTGCAGTGCTGCATTTTACTTTCCCTGAGCTGAAACAGCAGTGATGGAAGTCCATTTATAGAACAAACCTTCCTGCCTTCAGACCCTACACCAGGTCAAGTTCGAAGCAAAGAGCTCTTCCTTCCCCATCTCTGCAGACAGAGCTCTAACCCAGGCCGTGCACTGCCTCCAGAGCCTGGAGCTCAGCTCCCAGCAATGGCAGCAGCAGTGCCTCACCCTGCTCTCATCTGTCAGGACAGGGATCAAGGGGCTCGCCTGCTGTATGACCTGTGGGGGCAAGGCACTTGACCTCCAGATGCAAGTCAGCCAATGGAGCTCAAGCAGCAGCAGAAAAAAACCCAAACAGCATCACGGAGCCCTTTAGAAAAGCAATGTTGAGCTGGAGCAGTGTTTTCCAAGGAAGAGAAGCTACCAGCACATGCAGGGCGCAGCTCCCTTACTGCAGAGCACAGTGATGACATCAGCTCTCTGTACGGCCACTTGTCCCTGTCCCACACTGGAAAAACAATTTTTTTTTGTCTCTAAGGTTCAATATCAGTTCAAGCATACGTGGTTTCAACCACATTCAGCAACCTTTAAGCAGGCAACGGTCAGAACCAGCAGTGAGGCCGGGCCAGCACCAAGCACTGCACTCCCGCCTGCTGTCAACAAGAGGCATTTCTCTGCTGCAGACCAAGCCCAAGGGGTTTGTGTTCTCGATGCTTCTCTGTGTGATGGAAATCAGCTACCTACACGCTGGTATTTGACTGGAACCTCTTTAACCACCAGGCATTTCTTCTCAAGAGCAAGCACTTCTGTGAATGAGACGCAGATCACCGAGGGCTGCCTGCCTGGGGAGCAGCGTGGGAAGGGGAGCACCCTAGTGCTCCCCAGACTCCTTGGTGTCTTTCAGATCCGCCTTGCAGCACACTGCATGCCAAGCAGCCCAGCTGCTGGCTGAAGGAGGAGGCAGCAAGGTGATGGCTCTACCTAGGAAATGGAAAGGGTGCGGGAAGAGCGATGAGCAGCTGGCTGACCCAGCCTGCAGTGAGTGTGATAACTCACCGTGCATGGACAGGACTCATCTTGCTACTGCAAGGACTGATTTCCTTACTCCACCATCTGGCCTGAGTGCAATGAGCCTGCTCAGGTTCTCAGAGCTGCTGCAGGCGGTGCTCGTTACACACCAGGGAGCAGTAAGTTCAGTGCTGTACTGCTGCAGAGCACGTAGGGGTGGTCTGCACCAGCAGAGCCACTTCTCATCCACACACAGGCCAGGCAGAGGGCTGGAAATAAGGGCCATGTGTTTTTCAACTTACATTCTAAAATGCTCCTGAAGGACAAGCAGCATCTCACCACGGCTTCACTGGGTCTCAGCATCAGCGCTGTGGGTCTTTCATTTCTGCACAGCCATCCTGCCCTTATATTTTAGCAGAAATACAAACTGTGGCACCATGCAAGGACTCGCAGCAATGTGGGCCTTGACTAACGTATGGCACAGCAAGGACATCTGTCTGCAGGGGAAGGAGGGCACGAGGCCACTGCAGCAGAGATGCTGTGTGTGCTGGCAGCATCATCAGCTGAAGGAGAAGAATTTCTGCACCTGAAAATGTCAGTGAGTTTGAACTAAACTTGAACAGGAACATTTCACTGGAGCAGGTTACCCAAGGAGGCTGTGGATGCCCCATCCCTGGAGGCATTCAAGGCCAGGCTGGATGTGGCTCTGGGCAGCCTGGTCTGGTGGCTGGCGACCCTGCACACAGCAGAGGGTTGGAACTGGATGAGATTGTGGTGCTTTTCAACCCAGCCACTCTATGATTCTAGGATTCTACGACTGATGCAACAGCTCAGGTGAAAGAAAAGCAGGGCGTAACTCCAGCACAGAAACGAGAGGAGTGAAGGAGCTCAGAGCACTGCTTGCACCTTCGCTGCTTACAGAACGAGTGAGGAAAGGTCCTCACTGTGCTCCAGAGCCCAGCTCCTCCCCTCCAGGAGTTCTGATAAGGAGACCTGTTGAGGTGGGGATATTTATGAGCAGCCCTTTGTTTCTATTGCAATTAACGGGAGAGGTTCACACCTACAGCCAGAACTAGAAATTCAAAGGAAGAAATCAATCAGGAACAGGCGCGCATTCACCCAGGCAATTTAAGAAGAGGCCCACCAGACAGAGCCCTGCTATGCCCTGACATCCAAGCATTTTGCTCACATGCCTCCCTGTCCTTTTCCATTCACCAGATTTTCACCGTCCCCACGGATGAAGCTCCATGCTGCTCCAGCATCAGAAATATCACGGCCATCAGTACTGTTTTTACATTTGCTTTAAGCAGCTACACACACTGTTATTAATCTTCTTGCCTCGCAGACGGTGCCCTTAGGACCACCTGTGCTCTGGCTTTGTCCCCACAACACTGCCCAGCCTGGGCTGCATCCCAGCCCCTCTGCCCTGAGCTTTTCACTTTGTTTGAGGGAATCAAAGCTGAATGTCATCTCTGTCTGTGCAGGTCAGGTGTTGGCTGGGGGCCCACGGCACCCATTAATCAATGCTTGCACTGATTGCATGGTAATGCTGGGGGGATGTGGGAAGGGGGTGGGGAGGTGCAGCGATACACCTGGAAAATACCCTTCCAGATGGGATCTCAGAATGGGACGTCTGGGCAAAACCCATCCAAGTAGGGGGTGCCTGATTTCCATCAGCCTTTCTTTGGGCCCCCAAGGACTGAAAGCAGAAAACAAAACGCAGAGAAACAACACCAAAAAGCATCAAAAGCAAGAAAGGCATCGGCATCTCCAAAAACAAAACAGAAAAAAAAAACCAACAAAAGGAAAAGAAGGGTGGGGAAACCTCCTCAGCATTGACAGCAGCGCTTTTTGAACTTCATTGGTGGCACAGTCTCACATTTCCAAGGCTCTCGACGCAGGCGTTGGCTCCAGTGGTGAGACCATCTGCATCTCTGTTTTGCTGGGACTGCTTTCATGCCGAGGGCCGGGAAAGGGATGGAAAAGGATTCCATGAGAACCGCGTCTGGAGCTCCCACCCTCTCTCCCTGCTCCACCCCTCGCCCAGAGGGAGGGAGGGGAGGGCGAATGGAGAACTCCAACCCCCTTCTGCTGCTTTCCAGTAGCAGCCAACAGCTGCACCACGCAGCGCTCACCCGACAGCCCTCACCCAGCCTGCAGGGACGTGTGGGGACGTTCAGGATGGGAAGATCTGACCTGGTTATCAAGGAACACTTCCTACCAAAAGCAAACATCTCAGCGAAGGAAAACGCCGTGTCTCCGTTGAAGACATGGAAGATCATTGAGGTGAATGACTGCAGGACCACCGCTGGGCAGGGAAAGCCCCCCAGACCATCCCTGCATTTGGGGAGTGATGCCAGGATGCGTTGCAGCAGTGTTGGCCTTCATTTTAGAGATGAAGCAACACGTGCAGGGTGAAGAGAGGCAACAGACACAGGGCTCAGCTCCCAGCAAGCAGTGGCATCAGCTCCCAGCAGCTGCCACTGAGCGAGGCAGGCTCTTGTCTCCATCAAAGCAATGTTTGCAGGGTCTGGAAGAGTCGGGGTGGGAGCTGCCTCGCTGCTGGGGTAGGACTGGGAAGGGAGGCACAGGCTAGCACAGTAACACTGGGAAGAATCTGCATTTCATTGTACTGAGAACTATTCTCACACTTCTAGAGCCAGCAGCTCTGCTCCATAGGCGTGCTAATCATCCGAGAGTCACTGGGGGAACCACTAGTGCCTGCCTCTCCTCAGGGGAACACGCAGACAGCTTTTCATTCCTGCGTTCGGTTTCCTCTCTACCCTTCCCTTTCCATTCTGGCTGGCCATGCAGATCGCCCAAGCCTCCCTCCTGCCACGGTTGCTGCAGCAGCCCTTTCCTGAAACGCTCTATGGGTGGAAAGCACTTAACTTCACCCTGCCCCCGGGGCACCCTGCAGCACACAGTCTGCAGCCACATCAGCCATGCTGACAGGACAGAGCTCTCAGCACTGCCAAAGCAGTGCACGAGCCAAACCCTCCAAGCACCCAAACCCAGAGCACACCTTGCCCCTCTCTGGCCCTCCATGAAGCCTCCCTGCCCCACTGCTCCCTCCATCCACCTCCATCCCCAAGCTCAGACTCCCCGCACACCCCCAGGCTCCCTTACCTCTCACTGCTGGCAGCCCCACTCTGCAACCTCACCACTCTCCATCTTCTATTTCCACACACCGCATCCCACAAACCTCTCCCCTGCAGCTGTCACACACTGCTTTTCATTCCACACGTCGTTCAGACACCCCTCTCTTCCCCGGGTTCCTATCAATCAGCCCTGCCATACCTTTTTCACAAACCTTCCTGCCTATGCTCGCTCAGTCGCACTAATTAACGGCTCTCACTCACTCTTCCCCATGCTCCCCACCTGCAGCCTTGCACAAAGCCTTTCACACAGCCCTGGCTGGCAGGGCCAGGTTATCACTGTTCCTGGGATCCAAACAGATGGGAATTGCCCCGCTGGAAGAATCCCTCAGCCCTTCTGAAGGCTGGAGGATGGATGTGTGACATCAG